TGCCCAACAGTAGCAGCCTTCTAGAAGGGCCAGAGTGCCTGCAGCTAGGCAGGTCAACCAGGTTATGGAGAGAACAAAGTCCTGGCCTGATGAGCCCGGTGGGCAAGCAAGCAGGCCAGGCAACGGGGCACGGTCCATGGGGACCACCAGGGTCAAAGAAAGGGGGCGAACACATAGCACCCCCTGGACAAGATGTGCTTGGAGGTTCTCAGGGAATTCGGAGATCACATTGAGCTAAAAGATCTCCTAAATATCTTGAAGATTTTGTAACTCTGCTGGCAAAGCAGAAACAGTAAGAGGGTATTCCTGTGAAAGGTTGGAAATAAGAAACACTGGAAAATGAAGCCCAAAAGTACAGTTTGGTATGAAGGAGCTAGTGGGCTCCCACGCTCGTGTTGAGGTCGCGTGTAACTATTCATGTAGTTGTAGTTTTAGCCGGAGGGGAAGGGGTGTTGTGTCCTGAGCTTGCAAAGGCAGGCTCGGGACGTTGCAACAGTCCCGGGCAGTTGCAAGCTGCCCGGGACCAGACTGGCTGGCGCCGGCACTCGCACACATGCGTGAAGTGCGAAGCGCGCCAAATGTTGCCGTTTGGCCCGGTGATTGCCTTTAAGAGAAGCAGAGAGGCTTGTGTGCCTCGGCGTTGTAACGGGGCTACTGAACAACAATAAAGAGGCTCCTGAAACTACCAAAGGCTTCGTGACGTTATTGCCATTCGCTGAGGACTCAACAGTACTAGTCTAGTTGTTCCTGTTCTCACTACTGGTAGGTACAACCTATATAATAGATAAGAACAAAGGTACTGTCCCTCATCACTTCAGAAGATCTTGATAAATACTTTGGTATCTTTAAAAACACACATTAAAAGTCTGCTTAAGAGTAAGTACTTTTAACAAGAACATTAATATCAGTTTTGCTAGCCACCCAGTTTTTGGTTAAGATGGACTGGCATGTAAATTCTTTAAAATAAAAAATGAAATAAAAGATTGGTTTTGGGGGGAACTATTTGCTGGTTTTTGCTTGTTTGTAGTCTGTAAATAATTACTGTAGAAGGCAGTGTAATTGGTAACTCTTTGTTTAACCTACTATTGCATCTTAAACTGCTAATGTGATAGGAGCTACAACACTGTACTGGGCAAAAAAAAAAAAAAATGAAGCCAAGATGTCACAGTAACCTGAACTTGTGCAACACTTTTACACTGAAATCGTCCTCTTTACATTTCTAAATCAGATATGATATGCCATGATGCTATACAATTCTGTGACAAAGTATACCACCCTTTGGGATTTTCTGAATTTCTATATGCAGTATGAATTGTGCTTTATATCAAAGTATTCTGAAGAGAATAATAGGCCGTTTATCAATCAGCTGATACATGAGTGGGTAATGCAACAACATAAGGATTGCAGACATGTTAGCAAGTTTAGAAAAGGATATGTAAAGCTATCAAGCATGGATTTCCAAACTTTTGGCTTGCCTAGGCCTCACTGAAGAGGAATTGTCTTGGGCTGCATATACAATATATAATATATATATATTGTATATATATATATATATATATATATATATATATATATATATATATATACACACACACAAATACAATATATATATATATATATATATATTTCTAAAATTTGGATTGCTAGCAAAGAATTAAGGGAGAACTGGAATAGCTATTTCGAACTCTTTAGCTCTTTTCAACCAGACATACCCTTCTGAGATTCGAACCTGGGCTGTCTGCATGTTAGGCAGATGTATTAACCTCTAGGCCACAGGATCTGTCTAGATAACTCCTCCCCTTTTTCTTCCCTCCCTAACACAGCTGGAAAAAGTGAGACAGATCCTGTGGCCTAGAGGTTAATACATCTGCCTAACATGCAGACAGCCCAGGTTCGAATCTCAGAAGGGTATGTCTGGTTGAAAAGAGCTAAAGAGTTCGAAATAGCTATTCCAGTTCTCCCTTAATTCTTTGCTAGCAATCCAAATTTTAGAAATGTATATGATGTCACAGTTGTGACTGCTGCCTGTGGATGGCTCTAGTTTGAGCCGATACAAGGCAAAAGATTTCTCTCTCCCATATTTGGGCAACAGGGTGTAACATACAGCATTATATATATATATGTAGGTCTTTGGTTGTTCGGGTTTTCTCCCGCGTAAAATTGGAAGTATCTTGGCGACGTTTCGACGAAGTCCCATTCGTCATCTTCAGGCTGGTGTTTTCAGCTTCGTGCTTCGAGCAGCAATGTGTGGTCTTAGCTGTTTCTTCCTCAGAAAACACACACACACACACATATATATATATATATATATATTCACCATCATTATTGAATATATATATATATATATATATATATATATATATATATATTCAATAATGATGGTGAAAATGCGACTCCCGGGCATAATTATAAATGGAATGAATAAAGCGCGTTCACCAGGAGAGTTTAAAGTTAAAATACTTTAATTAAAGTATTTTACTATATTAAAAGGTTGCCAAGCTTTCGTTGGGAAAACTCCCCAACATCTTCAGGGCTGAGAGACCGTTTCTAACAAGGTGATTCAAACGGGTTCCATAGACGTCTGCACGTGGTTCCTAGACTGTGCTAGCATTCCCTGCTGAACAGCTGATAGTGGGAGGGGGATTTTACTCTGATTCCCCCTCCCACCTATCAGCTGTTCAGCAGGGAATGCTAGCACAGTCTAAGGTAAAAAAGGGGAGAACTAAGGAAGAACACGGTAACCAGGAGGGACGCGCCCCGATGACTATGCACACACCCCCAGGATTGAGCACTCGGAGTAAGACACGTGCGAGACAGCTGGGCATGACAACGAACAAGAGACGACCCCTCCACCATGCGGAATACCCCCCCACGCTATACCAGACTCGTAACAATTTACGGGATTACCAGGATGATAAACATATTAAAACCGAAAGCATTGAGACCGGAAATATAGGGGACTCTAAAAGTAGCAACCGGACAGAACGGGGCGGAGAAAGGAACTTGGAACGTCCACCACCACCCAAGCCTGAGGGGAGATCGGAACATGAAAGCAACCGAAATAACTGGAATTGCCATTCAGCTAATCTGAGGTTGGGAGAACTGGAGACGGACGAGGATAAAAATACAACTAAGAAGAGAAAAAAAGCGCAGGCCAACTACACACGGCTGAACCAATCAGGCCCCATAACAAGATCAAGGAGCCGAGTGCAAACCTCGGCACGCCTATAAAAAGACCTTCTCATTCTCTGGCACGCCAGCCCTGAAGATGCCGGCAGGTGACGGCGAAAGCTTGGCGCTTTTTAAAACTTTTATAGTTTTAACCCATTAAAAACTTCTTTAGTTTTTATTACCCTAGTGTTCATTTTTATATTTTATATATATGTATGTATATATATATATATATAAAAATAACCAACCTTTTAAAAATATTTTTATTATGATCTGGTGGGGGCACGTTAATAGCTGTCCAGGGCTGCATGCAGCCTGTGGCACGTGGGTTGGACATGCCTGTTGTAAACGTTTTAAAATGGCCAAGTCAAAATCTAGACCCAAATGCCACCAAAATATTGTGACAGGACCTGAAATAATCAGTTCATGCTTGAAAATTCTTGAGTGAAAGCAATTTGCCACAAAGAAATAAGCTGAAATTCCTATATAGTGATATAAAAATCTGATAATAAACTACAGAAGCATTTAATGATAGTTACTGCAGCTAATGATGATGCTATATTATTGACTATAAGGGAGTAATTTTTCATATTTGTGTGTTGCATTTTTTACAAAATGAAACTAGCACCTAATTTGGGTCTTAACTGTTTATTCCATGTCTCACAGATAAGATTTAGTAGCAAAGTTAATCAGAAATCCAGAAAAATCTTAAAGAGATTAATCTTTTTGGACAGATACTATGCTGCTATACAATAAAGTATAGAAATTACCTTCCAAGATCTTAGTTTGCAGAATGCAAGAATAGATGAAAGGAGAAAGCATCATCAGATGAAAGAGGATAGAGTTGATTTGTGATCCCACCTGGTTAATGATTATGGAAGTGGATTTTTTTTGTTTCTCCAGTGTGCTAGTAATTCTATATCTGGTCTTCTATTTTTATTATATTTTTAATTCTGTATACTGCCTTGAATCTTTTTGATTTAGCACCCTTAATAAAAATGATTTTTAGAGGATTTGAAAATATTTAAACATACAAGCAATGAAATAGTTCTTAACAAATATTCTGTTAAAATCTCAAAGATCTTCAAATGTGCTTAAAAACAGGCAAAAAGCATTTCTAAAATAGAGATTTGAGGTTAAGAAGCCCTAAATATCTTGAAGGCAGCATAGTGTCATGGCTGGGTGGGATTAAGTTCATGTACACATTCAACAATGAAAGATTCTGACACTTTGGAACAATCAGTCTAACCTTTTTCACAGATCAAAGGAGGGTTATGCCAACTTGAGTTTCTGGAAGACATGTGGTCTACAAATTATCAAATACATTTTCTTTGTAAGATTTATAAAGGCAATAAACCTGAATGATATATAGTATACTGGCTGAGGAATTCTGTGAGTTGAAGTCCACAAGTCATAAAAGGGCCAAGTTTGAAGACCCCTGATATATAGTTTAAACAGTAAAAGTTATTTTGTACAGTGGAATAAGAATGGCTAAGCGGGTACAACATTTTGAGTCTGAAATAGATTGTTTTGATCATTCTCAATGTTTCAGGTTTGAAACAACTGTTTTGAGTTTGAAATAGGGACAACTATTTAGACATGGGGCATTTTTGAAATGCTTGGGAATAACCATTTTGAAATTTAAAATTGGTTTTGCATTGGAAACATTTTAAACTCTTATATTTAACTTAGCTTACAGGTGAAGGCTTAGTAGTGAATTGTATTTTCTTTTGTTAGAGGAGTTTTCAGAGAGTTACTGCTATTTGGTGGTACCCTGTTGTAGCATAGTTACACAATATTATCCCAAATCTATTTTTGCCTTTATGCAGGGCCTAGGAGAACTTGATAAGGCAGTGAATTCACCTTGGTAATATCAGATGCTGGATGATCTTTTATCTCTTCCACATGACTACAAGTATTCCCTCAGTTTTATGAAAGTACGGTAAGATATCCCTGTCATCTTTGGCTACTCATTTTTCTAAATAAAATCAAAGTTGAAAATTTTCTGAAGCATGGCCAAAGTTAACTGATGTTCTAAGCACACACAACAATGGTGTCCCTTGACCCTTCTGTTGCTTAACTGACAAGACCTTAAGACTCAACGTTTTAAACTTTAGTCCAGTGTTTCTCAACCTTGACAATTTTAAGGCATGTGGACTTCAACTCCCAGAATTCCACAGCCAGCATTGCTGGCTGTGGAATTCTGGGAGTTGAAGTCCACATGCCTTAAAATTGTCAAGGTTGAGAAACACTGCTTTAGTCACTCACCATGCCAAGAAAATTTTTCAAATAATGCAGATTAAATTTGAATGTAGCATATAAAGGCAAGTACAAAAAGGTTGACTAAAGTAAAGTGTGGCAATGAAAAAATTAAGATCATGATGAATAGGGAGGAAATCTTTGGTCCCCCTCCATTCCCTTTGATGCTATAAACAGGTGGTTATTTCACTTAATGGTGAATTTTTACCTACCTGATGGCATGGTAGGTAAAAGCTGCATATTTATTTTCTCTTTCTGTGTGTTTGATGGAATTAGTTTGGGAAAGGCTGATTTTGATCTTCTAAGTGCTTGAAAGGGAACAGTCAGATCCAAAACATGATACTCTGTAATACTGAGACATAATGAACAAATGCATTAATCTTTATTACAGTCAAAGGGCAGAGATAAAAGGTATAACTGAAAACATTTAATAAAAGTAAAATAATGTAGGCAATTGTAATAGTTGAAATAAAAATATGTTACAACTGTTGGAGACCGTTCACTGATGCCTAATTTTCATGGCTGCTATACAGAATTTTGCTATGATCTGAGTTATAAATGGTTTAGAGTCTGAGAAAAGGATGAACACATATGTACTGTCAGATGACAATATCATCTTTTTATCAGTTCCTGGGAACTGATAAAAAAAAGGAAAGATATAAAAGCATCAAGAATATACTCAGTCTTGTTATCTGAAGGGATTATAGTCTTGAAAACTGGTGAAAATGGAAACTGCAGTTACTGAAGCATTAATCCTATAGGAAAAATGGGGTTAAAATTGTTGCAGATCCTTTTCAGTATATCCATTATTCTAAACCTATTATGTTTCCAATAATAAAGAACATTCAGTACAACATTTTACAGTATTTTGTTTTAAATAATAACTTTAATGGGCAATAAGACAATAACTTTTGTTGAAAGAATAAAAAACACCCCCCTTTTTGCCACAATCGGCTGAGTGATAGAGATAGCAAAGGCAGCTTGATATCTCCAACATCAGCTCTTCCTCCTCTGTGCTGGCCATCCCTCAGCTTGTTGAAGATTGTGCTGCTTTCAATGGGTTTAAAGAATTGCACTAGCATTGGCTGTGTAATTTCCATCATAATTCTTTTGAAAGCTCTGTGTTTTGACAAAAAGTACCCTCAGATTGGCTTTTAAACTTGAGGCTGTGTTTCACTAACGGATCCAATATCTGAACTTCTTTGGAAAGTTTATTAAGCAATGTAATCCACTTCTCAAGTTCTGCTATGTCAGGGGTGTCAAACTCAATTTCATTGAGGGCCGCATCAGCATTGCGGTTGCCCGGGGGGGGGCGGGTGTGTGTGGCCAGGATGGGTACAGTCTACTGGGTGGGCATGGATGGAGTGGGTGTGGCCTACTGGGTGGACATGACCAGTTCTACATCGTTCGCATCAAGGGTGCCTGTGGGGGCCTTGGCAGAAGTGGGACAGATCTGAGGTCTCTGACAAAAGGGGGTAGGACCGGGGCAAGTGCCAAGGCATGGTCCATTCTTCATTCCTCACAAAGGGTGACACCTCCACAGCATGCATCTAGGGGGTGGGGCTGACGTGGCAGGGGCTGGTTCCTCGCTGTTTCTAGACGGCTTGTGGAACTAAGACAATGCATTTCAGCATAGATGGCCACCACAAAATTGTACATTGGCTCCCGGCAGCGGGGGCCGTTCCCTCACTGTTTCCAGGATGGCTTCATGGGCCACATGAAACCACTTCGCGGGCTGCATCCGGCCCCCGGGCCTTGTGTTTGACATATCTGTGCTATGTTGAGTAAGACGATTTTAGGAGCAGCATTGTTGTCAGGATCATCTTTGTCACTGTCTTCTTGGCCATCCTTAGCTATAGCATTCTAATCCTCATTGCTAAACTCAGTGTGTCTTCTGTTAAAATCTTAACCTCCTCCTCCTGCATTTCACCAAAGCTGTTATTACCAATCCTTCACACCAAACTTATAATAGCTTATACATTTTCTAAAAAGTGTTCTTTAACACAGTGGATTGTTCTTCAGTCCATTGTGGAGTCAGGATTTGCATTTACATGTTAGCACACATTGCGATATAGCTCCTGGGTTTAATGGGTTTTGAAAGTGTTTACAATTTTCTGATGAAGTCTTGGAGGACAGAAGTGGTGTTTGGTGGCACTAAAAGGACTTTGACATTTGGGTGAGCATTTTCAAGCTCTACAAAAATATGTTGTTTAATAGCAGTAGTATCTTGAATGCAAAGGTCTTTTTTTCTGAGGTACTGTTCTAGTACAGGATTGAATAGTTGTTGAGTTAGCACCCAAAAATGTCAGAAGTCATCCAGGCTTTGATGTTCCATTTCCAAATGACTGGCATGTGGTTCAGATTTTTTTCCCCTAAGGGTGCTTGATTTATGGGTCTTGTATCCATGTGAACTTTATATTTATTTTATCAAAATAAAAAAACTGTCCACTTTAATCTTCTTGAGCTTGTCCCACAGAATACTCCTAGCTTAGAATCAAAAGCAGATTTGAAATCCAGAAACATTGCATATAAAGATATTTTAAAATTGTGCACTTGTTTATGAATACAAATTTTAGAACAATACTAAAATATAGTCTATAGTTGACCAGCCTTCTCTGAGTCTTGTTCATTCATTCCTTATCATTCCTTCCAATTTATTCATGTCTGAAGTTGGTTGTTTAGATGCTTTGCATATAATTAAGGACAATTAAATAAAAATATCAACAAGGGGACCAGCAATCACTTTGGGTAAAAAGAAGTTGTTTCTCAGGGTCTTCTCAGCCTTAAGTGACATTATTAATTAGGGTGACCAGGAATCGGCTGTCCAAAGTGTTGATATCAAATCATTATCAATATGTAAAGCCCTATAAAGTGCTTCCCAGAAATGAATGAAGATATTTAGCAGACTTCTCTATTGTCTGCTGAGCCTCTGGTGGTGAGTTACTAAAAGAGGGAGATGTGCTTTTATCTAATATAAGAAGTTGGTTCCATGAATCTTTTATAGCTTTCTGTTTCTTTTCAGAGTTAATTTATACTGTAATTTAAGGCTAGACAAAGTTTGTCAATGGGTCTTAGAGGAGATAATATTTACAGATTAAGCAATTCTAAAATTCTCTTTAAGCTGATTAACAACCTTGATCAAACTATTGTTTATTTTTGTTATTTGGGTAAAGAGAAAAGTTCTTCTCTGTTGTAAAAATTGACTTAAATTTGCTATGTTGTACAATTCTAATTGACATTCCTGGGAGTGGGTTGCAATTAAACCTAAGCAATTTTCCAAAGCCTTGTGAGATTTTAGCCATTGAAAGCGTTCCTTTCATACCACATAGGTTGTATAGTAGTGTTAATACCTCCAATTCTTGGGTGTACTTTAACATAATAAAATATAGCACAGAAAGAAAATGTCAAAACTCAAAAATCAGTAAATAGTTGACTTCTATTACATCAGCCAGATAAAGCCCATCCTCTTCTAAACCAAATACAGTATAGATGAGATGAAAGCCCAAATGCTAATACTGGTGGTATATAAAGCTCTTCAGATTATCTACCAGGTAGTTTCTGTTGCATTTCCATTCAAGTATTTGACAGATGATTTAAAATTTATGCTACCTTTGTTTCATGTTTTATCTAACAGTGGTCCAGGACTTTGCTCCTTTCATTTTTGTCTCAAAGAACATGAACTGGGCTAGTTGGCTATAAATTATGCCTTGTGGAGGCTCTGAGTTCTCTCTGATATGAAGTTGTAATATCAACTCACTTCTCTTCATATAGAAAACATGATGGATGATAGATGGCAAGATTGCAGATACTTAATAGACAGGTTATTTTCCTTCTGAGCAGAGAACAGAAAATGTATTTTCAGGCAAACTTTAAGTACAGATAATGTTTTAATTATAATTACTCATAAGGAATAAAGAATCCAATGCCTTAGCCTGATAGCCATTTTTCTTGGAAAGTACATGCATGCCCAAGAACTGAACAATTAATGCTAATGAACAGATGGTTCATCATAGCTAGGCACCTAGTAGATAGTGTGTTATTTTTCCAAATTAATGCTTTCAGGATTCTTTCCCCATAGAATTGAAATCCTCTGTGATTTCATGTAGACTGGAAAGAAAACAAATTAAAATCAATGTTGCATTTTCTAAGGAAAATAGAGTTAACTATTGCTTGAAAAAGTTACTTTAGTAAAACCATATATAATCATGTAAAACAACATGAGAACTTTATAATATTTATGCAATGCATATTATGTGACTTAAAGGCAGACAGAATGTTTGAATTATACCTCGAAGATTTAACAAAATACATTTTCAGCAGTTTATGGAATATGATTCAGTAAAATAAAATAAAGCAACATATTGTTAAAAATGGTACAGAGATGTCTAAAGTGAAATTCTTGATAAAAGCTGAATATTTTCATTCACCAAAGAACTGTCTGAAGCTGTCATATTGGTCTGGAATCATAATAGATGATGTGATAGAAAAGATTTGACTATGTGTAGAATAAAAATATTTCCCCGTATAGTAGAAGTATAGTAGAAGTATAGGAAGAGAAATACTGGAGAATAGTGGTTAGTTTTGTAAATAAAAGATTGCAGATCTTTTGATATGTTTATTTAACTATATTACTTTGTTCAAGTATAAGGCAATATTGTTTTCATACAGGTAGTCCTTGATTTA